AATCTAATACATCTCTCTGTGGTATTATATACTCTCATTATTAGTGGCTTATTATCAGTGGGATTTTGCTCCATGTCTATTCTCATTCTCAGGAATAAAACTGTGAACACAGTAAGGCAAATGGTCAACATTTACACTTCTATAGTGGTCAGTGATTTATTACTTTTTATTATCTAAAGATATTATTGTCAGGCATATGGGATGAATGTACATCATTAATCAAATTAGTATTATCCTTACAAGAGCTAATCTATTTGAGCAGGTTTGGGGTTGGGGTCAGTTATTCTACAATGGTGTTTGTGCTGGAAACTTCTCAATATCTAAATATCTACTATTCTGTTTTTGTGCTACACCCAAATACATCAAAATGCTTTTAAATGCTTTTGAATCTCTGTTGGTGCTAATCTATCTCATTGATCTAAGCATTAATCTAGGCTACACTCATATGGACTTTTGCATTGTCAACATTCACTCATGTGTGAACACAAGTGAATTTGGCAGTATCTAATAAAACTGTACATAAACTGTAATTAACTTTATCTACTTTTGAAGTAAATGCTTGTGAAATGGTCCCTTTACCATTTGATATTAGCACTGGCTAAGAATATTCTCTATTTTTGAAAGCATCTATGGTTGATGCATTTATCTATCTCTATTTTTACACTATTGTGACTCCAAACTTTGGCTGCAGTTTGAGCCAAGGCATATTCCTAATTTGTGACTTCTGTCACTTTTAATATCTCTAAAATAACTCTGATTCTAATATTATAGCTGATCTATCAAAAGGATAACATTGTATGGTACTATTTTAACTCTTATGTGGAAATGTGTTTATGAACAGCAAAGAAAGGACAATTCTACTTTTTTACTACTATTTAACATCTACTAAAACGCTACAATACTCATACTTTATCATTTTCAAAGTTTTTGTCTGTCAGATGTCTGAATACTTAACATGTATATTGCATTTGGTCACAGGTTCTGGTTGTAGCAATAGCATCGGCAATAGACGTTTTCATTGGCTGGTTCTTGTTCTGCAAATGGCTGTGTCCAATAGATCATCAGATGTCCAGAAGCTAGGGACAAACAAAAACAAAAGAAAGAATCATGAGTATCTGTCTCATTTAGCACTCATCAATGTATGATTTCAAAAATATAAACATCACTCCCCAGTTTTCTCTCAGATCCTCAGATCCTCAGATCCTCAGGTCCTCAGATCCTCAGGTCCTCAGGTCCTCAGGTCCTCAGGTCCTCAGATCCTCAGGTCCTCAGGTCCTCAGGTCCTCAGGTCCTCAGGTCCTCAGGTCCTCAGGTCCTCAGGTCCTCAGGGTCCTCAGTGTCCCCTGAGGGTGAGTCTCAGTCGTCACCAGGTCAGGTCATATTTCGAGAGATGTCATCTTGGACATCAGTAGGGTCCAAGCCATGGTTTTGGTCTCTCCAGATGCACATCAGGATCTCCAGATACAGTCTTTTCACTCGAAGCGCACATCAGGTCATTTGCGATGCACTTCTGGTCAATGGTGCAGTGTCACAGTTCCTGTACACAGCTTGTTATGCAGTTAGGCACTGTGTATGGTTAAGTCACTTTGATTCTACTTTAACACAATTTCTATTCATGCTGTTGCTAATGTCCCTCAGACAAAAAGCAAGCGCAATGATTCAGTTTACTTCTCTAATTTGTGTTTTTATCAGATCTAATTCTAATCAATGTAATTACATCACACAGTACAAAATCAACAAATCAAAAGTGTCAGGACAGAGGTCAATTAAGTCCATGACAATATAGAATTCAAATGAACATTTCTGGTCTCAAAAAATACTGATTCAACTAAAGATTCAAGTGATAGACAATTAAAAATGTGTTTACATTGGAGTAAACTTTTAAATGCTTTTTTCTCATGTTCTGCTTTTTCATGTATCTATATGTAAATGTGTATGTGTGAGTGTATGAATGTATGTGTGTGTGTGTGTGTGTATGTGAATTTTGGGGTTGTGTCTCCAGACTCCTCGAACCACCTGTAGGTGTCAAAGGTCACACTGTGGTGATGCAAACCAACTGGACACACTTTCAACTGCCTCTAGGTCTTTCCCTGACTCTCCACCCATCACTGCCTCCAGAAACCTCCACTTTGTGGCCCCGGTCTCACTCCCACTTACTTCTGTAGTGGGGGGAGGGGCGTAGAGGTGGCATTGTTTCCCTTTGCTCTTTGATCTGTGACCTGTGGCTGGGTGGGCTTTGCGCTGTCCAGTGTCCAGCAGTGACCTCTCGTACAGTGTGCCAGAGTCTGAAAAACAATCCTTGAGACGGCCAATTTAAAAAAACAATAGATATCAGTATGCGAATGAGATTGTTTTTCTCCCTAAAGTCAAAACAATTTTGGAGCGCTCTGGGTTTTCCCACATGCGCTATGTAAATAAAGATTACTTATTATCTTACTGATGACATTTTAAAACCAGAAACTCTTAATATAAAAAACAAGACTCAAATCTCAAAAATCTTCAAACTTTAAAATATGTATTATGTACTTTTGTACTGTGTTTAATTATCTATGCATTTATCTCAGCATATATTTTACTAATTTAAAATAATTGCAGCATTTTTCAAATGAAGTCAGTATGAATTGGAGCACATTTTAGACCAGTCTCCTGTGCTGCGTGCATCTGCAGCAGGAGGAAGGTCAGGTGCATAGTCAAAACAAAAAAGTCACAGCTTGAATGTGAATTGGGTAGTTTTCAACTTAATAATATAATACTTTTACAGCTAATCCTAATTCCCTCTTTCTTTTTTAGAAGAAGTCTATAATCAATAATCACTTTTAACACAGATTCTAATTTAAATGTTTGAAAAACGGCTTTTGTAACTAAAATAAAAACATAAAAACAAACACAACTCACAAAAAGTTAAGAAATAAGCAGCAGATTTAAAAGAATGGAATCTAGAAATATGTTAGGTCTAAAAAGAATTGCACAGCTTTTAGCACTAATATTTGGATTTCAAAAAACATATAATATTCAAAACTTATTCACTAATGGTGTTTAAAAACGTTTAACTGTGTCTAACACAATGTTCAAATGGCAAATTTCGCAAATTTAACGGAATAAAAACTATGAAAAGCCAAAATCCTAAAGCAGTAGCTTTGATTCAGAGCCAGAGCAGCAAAGGAGGGGGCCGTTTCCCTGACAACGGCAGCAAGATAGTGCGACGCACACACACAGACAGAAAGTAGTGTTTTAGCAAAAATGCCAAAACAGAAAGAAGAAGAACTTTCAAGATTACTTTTTTAAGCAAATATAACTGATGTTGTTCTTTATACTTTTGTCATCCAAGTCTAGAAATGGCCACTTTCCACACTAGTAACAAAAGGCACTCTTGTCTTTAACGTTTACGCTTCTATTTTATCGAGGTAGCTAATTTAAACTCAAAATCTCTTTCTAAAAAACAAAAAACAACTGTTGGATACAACCCTCTCATAGCTTAACTATAGATATAACTCGGCAAAAAATGTAAATAACTCACGAAAGCTCTCATAGCTCAACTTTAGATAAAACTCTGTATTCTCCGGTGAACTCTGTTCACGCCAAAAAACAAAAACTCCCTTTTTCTGTATGTAATTTAAACCGTGATCACTGAAATATTGTTGCTTCTTTACTTTTGTCATTTATCAGCCTGAAATTCGTCAATTTCAAAGCTTTTGTAACAAAGGCCTCCTTAACACATTTCCCTTTTTAAAAATTGCTTTTACTTTTATACCATGGTTTTACTAAGGGACTCTAACCCTGAAGCTTCTTCTCAAAGGGACTTTAACCCCGAGACTTTTCTCAAAGGGACTTTAACCCCGAGACTTTTCTCAAAGGGACTTTAACCCCGAGACTTTTCTCAAAGGGACTCTAACCCCGAGACTTTTCTCAAAGGGACTCTAACCCCGAGACTTTTCTCAAAGGGACTCTAACCCCGAGACTTTTCTCAAATACAATTTAGAGAGTTTGACAGACCCCAAAAACAGACCAAAATTTAGCTAATATCCAATTATACAGACTTTACATATAAAAAGGTGTCTGCTTACCTTATTCTTGTCAAACAGGTACCAAGGACTGTCCGAGAGGTCTGCCAACATCTTTTCCGCGTCGGAATATTCAATTTAAAAAACAAAAGTGACAGAAGCGACAAGAAGCATCCAGGAACAGCTCTTCCAGCCTGCTGGAATCTCCGCTCCCAGACACAGCATGCCGATCTCTCACGCAGAGGAAAAGAAACGGAGCAAACTCCCTCAAAACAATCCAGAGAATGGCACAAACCGAGCCGCGCATTCTCCACCAAATCTGTTAGGATTTAGGCAGACAGAGACGGATCGTGGTGCGCCAAACTCTGGAAGTTTATTTAAGTTTCTCTCAAGTTCCACTGGTTTACTCTGTTTCTTTCTCTCAGACAGAATAAAGGCAGTACACAGTTTATATAGTCATTGTCACGTCACACATGGAAAGACATACGTGTCACAAAGAGACAGTCACATCATAGTCATAACATGGAGTCCTTGTAGAGTCCTGCACGTAGGCCATATTGCTATCTAATACTAATAAGTGAGCAAAACACATTTTAAAAGTATATTTTATGCTCAAATATATTTACCAGAAATATGAACTGTAAATTTCCATCAAAACATGAGTGGACTCTTTGAACTCTTCTATTAACACGTTTTTTTGGTGTAGTAACTTTTGTTGTTGCATTTGCGACGAAGGAGACTCCTTATCTCAGACACTGATGTTCCTGGGAAACGCTTCCTCACAGTGTCTGAAAACGCATACAAATTATACTTTTTTTATTTATTTTTTGAGAAAATGAATACATTCAACACATACCTGCAATTACATTCACTTTGTGTGAATCCAACTGTTATTTTCCACCCTTTCCTGTCAATGTGGATCTCCCCAGACACTCTTTTCCAAAGACAAGTGAAGCCAAATCTTGGACAAAGAGAGATACTCTGGATGTATTGAGCCTATCATAAAGTTTTTTTTTCAACTTGAACATCTGATCCACCCAGCGCAATCTGTTGACAAAAAAGAACTGGTCAAAAAGTCATCATTGTCAATGGAAAGGAAGATGCCGTGGTAATATTTGGTGTCATTTACATGTAAATGGGCATTATGTCTGTCCAAAGAATGTGTAACTTACCATTTGTGTTTGTGTCACAATGTGTCCATCATCAGAGCTTACAGAGGGACAGGGAGTGCTTGTAGAATTGTATGTTATTGCTGCCAGAGTGTTTTTTATTTGCAGAAGAAGACTTGGAAGTTCTACAAAGAGAAATACAATTACAAAGACACTATAACGAATATATATTATTAATGTTCATACCCTTAATAGCATTAGCTGTACTTTGGTCCAAAACCGTGTAGTTATTAGTGCCACTTTGGGCCAGAATTGAAGGACTTACTCCTGCCCCATCCACAATGGTTTGAGACGATTCTTCAATTTCGTCATCACTTTCTAAAATTGCCTGTGCCATGAAACAGAAGTCAAGTCAATACACTATATAGTAGATTAGTATGTAACTTTGTTTACTTTTCTTTTTTTTCTCGTCCATCTTTGAGAATTATCAAATAAATCAATATCTGTGTCAATATCGGTTTCATCCGATTCTTGCAGTGCTGCTGCTTGATGCTCGGATAAACCAAGTCTCAAGGTATCTGACAGTTTGTTAATTTCCTTGATCATACTTCATGGCGCATTTTGTACATCTTATAACTGAGTCTTTGATTCACCAAACTAGTTTTAAAAAATGTGTGGGTGTGGTTGTGTTGTGTTGGATGAGTGAGAAGGGTTAGAGCCGGAGTGTCTAACCAACAGTCAGACTGGACTAATTTGAGGAAAATGGCGTACAGTGCCTTTTGAAAGTACCAATACACCTCGGACTGATGCACAGGTTTGTCAGGTTTACAACCATTAACATACACATTTTATTTTGATTTTTTCACTGAAAGTTCATACACAAATAACAGACAACTGTGAAGTTACAGTAAAATGTCCCCAACAGCATCTACGCGCCACTGCAAACTTACCAAAACTCAGCCGTCCATCTAAACTAACAGATCGAATAACAGCACAGCCGTCAAATAGGGTGGGGGGAGAATCATGGTTCAGTGGGGTCTGAGAAGAATGTAAGAATAGCTGGAACATTTTGGAGGAAAACCTGATAGAGTCAGAAAAATTAAAATCTGTGGAAAGACCTGAAAACTGCTGTTCACAAACGATGTAATTTGACAGAGGTTGAGTGGTTTTGTACTTCTAAACGTTTCTGTCTCTCTTGTAGAATCATATCCCAAAAGAGGAAGTGCATTCCACAAAGTTACCTCATGCTGTATAAATATTTTCACTTTCTTGTTATTTATTTTTCTATGTATCATTTTGCTTTCACTTCACAGTTGTCTGTTACTTGCGGGTCAATGAACAATTCAAAATAAAATCTTTCTTTATGGTTATAATCCTGACAAAATGTGCAAAAGTTAAAGGTGTATTATTTTTTTGCATTTTTGCATTGTGGCCTCAAACCATGAATCCAACCCCAAACTTCAGTTCTTAGAATAAGGATTAGCCTTTGTGGCCCACCACTGTTTTTACCCTGATGCTCCTGAATCTGTGAATGTGACCCAAATGTGACAATTGTGACTAAATGACAGAATAAAATGCCATTGTAAAACAACTCTTTTGAAAGGCTGGAGTGCTTCTTGGATGTCAAAAAAGTAAGGCAAAAAGTAAACTGTGCGTGCTAACAAGAGACCTGTAGATTTTCTAAAGAAAGTGGGGGCCAGTGGTCTGCTGTGATTGGTCACAATCTGGTCCCGAAATAAATTATCTTCTGCTTTGCGCAAAAACTCGATCTAAAATAAAATTACACTCCAGTACAAATCTGCGCTGCTTATTCTTCAAAAGGACGTATATCCCAATACACTGCATGGATATGGATTGAATTTTCCCAATGAATACAAAAATAAAGTGAGGTAGTCTAGCTTTAATGCATAGAAACAATGTGTCCTATCACAATTATGTAGACAACACTCAACTCTATGTCTCACTGACTGCAGGAGAACATGAACCAGTGAGCTCATTCCTTCACTGTATCCAACATATCAGTGAGTGGATGCAAAACAACTTCCTCCAACTAAACTCAGACAAAATTAGAATGATTGTCTTTGGCCTCCAGAAACAAAGAGAGCCCTTTAAATACGGTCAGATATCTAGGGGTAATAATGGACTCAGACTTGAATTTTAACAGTCACATAAAATCAGTAACATCAGCAGCTTTTTACCATCTGAAAAACCTTGCCAAAATGAAAAATATAGTGTCAAAAGCAGACCTGATACCTTTAACCACGCATTTTTCTCAAGTAGATAAGACTACTGTAATGACCAGCTCACTGGTCTCTCCAAACAAGCAACAAAACACTGTAGCTCGTGTCCATAGAACTAGGAAGTATGATCACACCAGTCCAGTTCTCAGGCCTCTGCACTGGCTTCCTGTGGCTCAGAGTATAAACTTTAAAGCTGCTGTGCTTTTTTATAAGTCTCTCCATGGCCTCGCACCAAAGCACATACAGTGGGTGACATGTTACTACCATATGAACCGACTCGGACTCTGAGGAGCACAGGGAGTGGCCTCCTGCTGGTGCCCGGAGTCAGGACTAAACTGAAACTACAGGAATGACCTCCTTTACAGTACTCAAACTCAATACTATTCAACTTTTATAGAAGCAAATAAGGAATAAAAACAAGCGGAAGTGATCTCCATGGTCGCATCCTCTAAAACCTCAACTTGCATTTTAGATCCAATCCCAGCTACACTGTAAAGAATTTCCTTGTAGAAAAACGGTAAAAAGCTGGCAAATATGGTTCCAGGGATTTACCGTTTTCTCAACATGGCATTACCGTTGCTAATTTTAACGGTTAAAGACTGTTTCACTGAATCACATTATGACTTTGTGATTTCAGGATTTAACTGTATGTTCCTGTTCATTCACATACAACAAAAACAGCATTATAATGTTCATTTTTTATTATTACACCATACGACTGTTTCTGTTTCTAATTAGTTTCATTGAACAAAAAACTACACAGTTTAATTTTGTTTTCCTTTAATGAATCTTAAGTTTATACCAAAAAAATGGTTGAATTCTTTACTTTTATAACATGCTTAACGCAAAAGCATCATTTTAACAAAAGCAGGAGTTTACACCTCTTACACAATTTCCCAGCATTCCAAAAATACAACAAGTTGATATTAAATCACGGTAATCACATTATAATTGTGGTAATAAAATGCCACTGGATGTTTTTTAACCAATTTATACTAAAATTTGCATGTTTCAATTGTTTTTCAAAATAACATTTGTTTAATGTTGAAATTCCATCATAATTTTACAGAAATTTGTTAGGTTCTTCAAAGTTACACTTGCTTTAACAATAGAGATTAAATAGATCAAACCTCTTCTGAAAAAACAAACCTTGATCCAAAATTAGTTACAAACTACAGACCAATCTCAAACCTTACTTTTATATCTAAAATCCTTTAAAAGCTTATTTCTAAACAACTTTTCTGCCACCTACAGGAAAATAATATATTTGAAATCAATCAGGATTTAGAGCAAATGACTTACTTCTAGCTGCTGATAATGGACGTCAGCGTTGGTCCTACCGGACCTTAGTGCTGCATTTGATACAACTGACCACAGCATTCTACTGCAGAGGCTGGAATGTGACCATAGACTGTATATATAAACGGACGTAGTCATGCCTATCTCCGCCGTTCTAACTAATAGGCCAAAAATTGGGCTTTCATGGAGTGATTCAAAATGGCCGCGGGGGCTGGAAAATGTGAAAAAACGCATCTGCGCATGCGTCAGCCGGCACGAGCCCCATTCATTCAAACAAGTGACTTCAAAAATTCACAGTGAGTAAACCAGAGTGTCCAAAAAAATTCACTCCCCTCAGCATTGACACACATGTGGAACGGAGCTTTGGGCCAAGAGCCAACTTTTGGACCACCCTGTAAAGGTGTTTTCGAGAGGTAGGAAATGTTAGCATTGGCTAATTCTTATTCCAGGTCGACCCCCATCGGCCCGGGGTGGTATTGCAAGCATGTCAGCGCATGTCATTTTGGCCACTTTTGAGCCGGGACCCGCGCCCACTGAATGTGACATGGATCTCAGAGGAACAGGAAGATTGATGGATATTGCAAAGTAAACTACATGTGTAGATTACTTGCTAAACCCAAAATTGCAATGAAGTTTGACTGATATTTCAACTTGTATTTGGCAAGTTGTTGTTGTTTGAAAGCTTAGTTGAACATAAAAAAACAAACAAACAACAATAAATACAATACAATAACCAAAAAAGAAAGACAAAAAAACAAAACAAAAACAGACAACAAGACGTATTCAGTCACGTTCTTAAAGTTCTGGTGACAGTATGTGACTGATTTAACTATCACTTTGCAAGTTCTCCCAATTCGCATAATAAGACAATTCTTATTCTTAGACTTCTAAAGTTAACTTTTAATATAAAGCAGCGTTCAAACATCCAGATACATGAGGTCACTTCCTTAAAAAATAAAATTATTTTTGTATCTGAAGTAAGAATTACAGTTAGGGTTTACAGTGTTTTCTACTAATATGGTAATAAGGATGATGAGGTTGGGTTCCTTGGGTTTAGTTAACCATTTAGGTGCCAGAGGTATTATTTTTCTGAGATTGAATGTGAAACAGACAAAGGTGGATATAGAGGATTGATATCAACATTAACATCAGCAGTGTCCTGGATTCAGAAGCTCAAGTAGAGTCTGCTACTTTGGTTCCTGAAGGGTTAACAGTTGTTTCCCTGTAATGTCTGTGTTTTCTGGTTAACAGTCTAATTAGAAATGGATGCGTTGTTCATGTACTGTAACTGTGTCATGTTACTGACATCTAGTGACAAGGCTGGATATACAACCATATCCTTTTGAACTTATTTTCAGCTGTGTATGAGAGACATATTTTGGGACTTTCTTAAAAGCAAGTGATACCTGCACTGTATACATTTTATCAAACACATGCTTTATTTTTTCTATTGCTCTGAAACATCTTACATTAAGATACTGTATATAGTATATGTCTTGGTTGTAGTGGCTTTTATTGATAGAGTTGAATTGAACTGTCAGTAGTGTATTTACTTGCTGAGAGATGTGTTTAACACTCAAACAGAGCAGTAATAATTTAAAAATGTACTATGTAAATGTCTTTTTTCAATGTTTGGAAGATTTGAATTTGTGAAAATGTTTTAAGGTTGTCTTTTTTGCAAGATTAATTGATCATTAAAATAAAAAGTTCCGGCCCTAATAATAGTGGCATCCAGCAAAATAGATCTTTATCCAAATAGAAAGTTCTTGGAGAGATACCTGCAATTTAATTGTTTAGCACATTTTTAAAGAATAGTTTTATAATCACCCGCCTTTTGTATCTTTAAAAATGAATATCAACACAACAGAAAACATACAATAAAACAGATCAAACAATAAAAATGTATAAGATAGGCCTCATTATAAAAGATAGGAAAAAGTACAAATATTTAAAATACTACAAAAGATACATACACTAAAAGTAATAGCCCACATGAGACGATAAAAACAAATGTAAACAGGTACAACACGTGAAAATGGATGAAAGCATTTAAGAATTGAAATGTGCCGAAATCTGGCAGATGTAAGATAGAAGATGGAAGAAGGTGGATTAGAGCAAATAGTGACTAAACTTATGCAGTCACTCAATAAGATAGACCTGATAGATGATAGAAACCCACAACAAAGTCCAGAACAGTCCAGTAAACTATGTGTCTGTCCTGGTGATCTCCTTTATGTACCACTCTGGTAGGAAGTGGTACTGCGAGTCTCTATGAATAGTGAAACCGACATCTCTGCGCGGCTCCCAGGAGAACAAGTAGACAACACTACAAGTAAGACCAGAGATAAGTCATGTATCATCATTTCTCATGTATATCATGTGCACACTATACCTTGGATCGTCCTCAGAGACCACATCTTTGACAAATGTCAGAAAGTCATTGCAAAAGTTCATACAGACTGTAGGTTTCCAGCAGTTATTCTCACCCTGTGAAAAAGAGCATTTCCTTTGCAGTTTTAATCACACACTGTAGTATTAGTGTCAAATTAAATATGCACCTCAACCAGTTGTGACATTTCAGCAGTCTGGAAAGTCTCCACTTTAACAACAATACCATCCCGATCCCGAAAGCCTGCAACAACTTGAGGCACACCGGGCATAAACGACTGCGCCCACCACTTTAACAACTTGAACCTAAAAGGACAAATACTGTAGATGAAACATTTAAGCCAAAAACACATATGGACTTCTCTAAATTAATAGTCACTTGTGGAAGTTGGTGCGTTGTTTTGGAGTGCAGATTTCAGCTGATGTTTTGAGCTCGACGTAGCAGGACGGGGGATCTTTGGGCTCTCTCACGCGGCAGTCCACTTCACCAGAGAACAGGAGTTTGTGTTTGGCGAATTGAGTTCTCATCACTGTGTAATATGCTTCATTAGTATTAACCACTCCACTGGGGTCAGGTGAACCCTCAATGTTATCTGAAATAATGAGTGAGACGGTTTTTTATTGTGCAGAATAGATAACCATCATAGTGAACAAAAGTTCACTATGATGGCACCTGCACACACGTACTGCTCAAACTTGAATCCCCTGTAAATAACTTTACTACACTGTTCAACGATCTTGGCATGCTTCCTGCGAGTCTCGTTCGTCTCTACTTTGTTGATGTAAATTGTTCCCCTAAACTTGGTCACAGCGAACATCCAGCCTTCTTTATCTTCATAAGGAGTAGTGTGCAGTTTGGTCAGATGCCCCCGCAGCGTCACAAAGTCCACATCCAGAGTGCTGTTGACAATAGAGCAGAGATTTATATAGGCGTCTCATTGTAATCTAAATAAAACATTAGATATACTTACAAATCAGTCCTGTTAGAAATAATCCACTTCAGGATTTGATCCAGCTTCTCGTCCACACTTTCATCTCTTTTTACATAACGGTCTCTGAATCCATCGTTGAGATCAAAGGTGGGATTCTGGGGTGGTTCTGTATAATACCTTAAATGTCTGTTGTCATTAAAAAACCTTCGTTCTGAGTCAATAGAAAAACAGCCGACCTCTGTGGGCACATGTGTATGAAGTGGAAAGTCTTTCTCATATTGTTTCCTTCTGGTGCTCAGTGTTGGATTCATGCTGGAAGAAACTAACACAAACAAATATTAGAGCCATAAAGAACGTACCAAATCCAATTATTATCAGAATCCTATATTAGAAAAAAGTTGTGAGAAAGACTCTGCAGAGTCAGACAGGAGCGAGGCAATCCCAAGGCTTGCCTCGTTCCTCTCTGCCCGCTTACATTCCATATTCAATAATATAGTCGTAAAGAAAGTTCAAAGGACAAGACTTCATGTGGGGGTTTTGGTGGCTTTGATTTATCCAATCCAATCCACTTTATTTATATAGCACATTTTATAAAACATGTTTCCAAAGTGCTGCACAGTTAAAAGTAACAGATTCAAATATACAAGTCTGCCAGCAGATTTATGCAGGAAGAGGAATTGTGCTGCACCTGACATAATGTATGATTTAATGAACCAAGGGGAGTCTTCTTGGTACTGCCAGTCCCAGGCTAAGGTCATGTGACCCAGCACAGGAGGCCTCTGTTCCAATGTATCAGTGAATTTGATACACTATATTCAAATATGAATTTTGCCATAACAATTATTGTATTGTTTATTCACCTTTTCGATAAATTGCACAAAGACAAGTTGTTTTTCTTGGATCCATTCATTGAAGTATTACATTTTCACTACAAAACCTGTAAATACCAAAGTGCATGATGGTTCAGTAAAGATTAGAATGATGGTTGTTAACACTATTGTAACCATTATTCACTGTCACTGGGAGAGAAAGATGTTGTTTGAGTACGAGTAAAACAAACACAATCGTCTGTGACTGACCACCTCGTCATCTTTGGGTCATGATTAATAGTAAGTAATGATGTCAGGATGTCAGTGTTTGGGCACGTGCCGTCAGGCTTGGGACACTGCCAGGGTGGCGACAGCCCTCCCTTTGTCAAACAGTTCCTGCAGGAATCCCAAGACTCCTTCCAAAGGGCAGCGCCTGGGATCCCAGGAGCGAGAACCGCACCAGACGCTGAAGAGCCTCCATCTCGTGGCGTAGGCCCTCACAGTGGAAGGCGCCCTCGCCCCCTGAATAGTCTCCACCACCGCCAGGGAAGACCCAGGTCTACGAGGTTCCACCTCTCAGCCTCCAAACCCAAAGCCTGCGGCCGATTAACGGGCGTGAGTACAGGGTCCCCCCCCCTTGGACTAGAGCCCCCGGCTCGTCCGGGAGGGCCCAAGGCTCCATCACCGCCATGTCCCTCAGGAAAGAGAACCACCGGGCATGTGGATTGTCTGGAGCCACCAGGACCACCGACCTCCCCTCCTGTTCGATCCTCTGCAGCAGGACCGGCAGGAGACGAACTGGTGGAAACGCATACAGCAGGCCCCCTGGCCAGGGGTAGTGAGCCAGGGCGGTTCGTCCGCGGCCCTTAAGGCGAACCAGGACGGGCACTGTGCGTTCTCTGCACTGGCGAAAAGGTCGACCACTGGATGACCGAATCTCCGCCAGACCTCTGCAGCTATCCGCGGGGCCAGGCCCCACTCGTCCTGGAGTGGGCCCCCCCTGGACATCCTGTCGGCCCCCACGTTCCGGGCACCCTGGACGTGGCGCGCCCTCAGGGACAGGAGGTGAAGCACCGCCCACAGCAGCGTCACCGTCGCCATGCGATGGAGAGCGGGGGATCTGGTGCCCCCCTGCCTGTTCAGATAAGACACCACCGTGGTGTTGTCTGAGCGAACCATCACGTGTCTCCCCTGCAGCTGAGGAGCAAAGTGCAGCAGTACCCTGTGTACTGCCTCCATCTCCAGAAGGTTGATGTGGCGGTCCAACCAGCAGCCTTCTACGGAGCTCTGACCGAGGATCCCGCCCCAACCCTTGAGTGACGCGTCCGCAGACCAGAGTTACTCCGTCCCGCAATAGACCCGGAGTGAGCCAGAACCTGATGTCCGACGCTGCAGTTTGGGGAACCCAGATCAGCCTCCCCCCGTCCCGGGAGGGGTGAAGCCTGAGGCGTGAGAACCATCTCTGAAAATTCCTCATGTGGACGAGGCCTAGCTGCACCACAGCATGAGCCGCCGCCATCATCCCCAGCAGGGACCTGAGGCGCCGAGCGGGGACCCTGGGGCCCTCCAGAACCTCCCTGGCTAGACGGGTAATTTTCCTCCGTCTGTCCTCGGACAATGCAGCACGGAACGGCACAGAGTCTAGCTGCAGGCCGAGATAGATCATGCGCTGAGCCGGTTGCAGCCTGCTATTCTCCCTCTTCACCACAAAGCCCAGACGCTGTATGTGGGAAAGGACCCAGTGCGTTTGACTCACGGCCACCTCCCTGGACGAGGCCAGTATTAAAGCTGCACTAACTGACTTTATTTTTGTATTCATTACGAAAATGCGATCCATGTCCAAGTAGTGCATTGGGATATACATCATTTTGAAGAAAAAGTAGCGCAGATTTGTGCTGGCGTGACATTATATTTTAGATCGAGTTTTGATGAAACAAGGAAGAGAATGTGTTTCGGGTCGCGGATTGTGACCAATCGCAGCGCACCACTAGCCCCCACTTTCGTGAGAAATCTACAGGTCCGTTAGCACCGACGGCTGAGTTAGCGCAACAAGCGGCGGAGCTAACCTGAAGCTTTGTGTGTCTTCGTCATCGGTTACTGCTTACACAGCGACACAGCCATCCAAAAGAAAGCCCCGTTCCTCCGCTCTTCCCGGTTCTATCGTTCTACACGCCATCCACGTGCAAATCCATATTCGTGTATTATCCATATTGGGAGACGCTAACTCCGTCCCAACAGTGGGTGTGTGTGGGGGGCGATAGCTTCGTGGGTGCGGGGAGGGGAGCAGAAAGAGAAAGGCCAGCGGGTCCACGGCTTCAAAATCCCAAAGTCAGTTAGTGCAGCTTTAACCAATCGTTTATATTGGTTAATATCCTTACCCCCGCGCGTCTGAGCGGCTCCAGTGCCGCCTCCACGCACTTTGAGAAGGGCCGAGGCACAAGCGCGTAGCCGAAGGGGAGACGGCAGTACTCGTAACTCCTCTCTCCCACTGAGAAGCGCAGGAACTTCCTGTGTTTCGGAACTATCGCCACCTGAAAATAAGCGTCTGTCAGGTCTATGGAGGACATCCAATCTCCCTGCCTGACACACTCCAGGAGCTGTTTTCTGGACAGCATCTGAAACTGACGCTTAGAAATGCACTCGTTCAACACGCGCAGATCCAAAATGGGACGCACCCCTCCTGACTTCTTTGGCACTAAGAAGTAAGGGGAGTAGAGCCCCCTGGTGGTGTCCTGTGGGTCTACCTCTACTGCTGTGCCTCGACTCAGCAGAGAGGAGACCTCCGCTTGCAGTGCCACTAATGATCCCCGTACCTGAGAGCGTGCTGCCCGCACGCCCCGGAATGGCGGGGGCTTTCGGGAGAATTTCAATACGTAGCCCCTGCGCAAGGTCTTCTCTAGCCACGGATCCGACATTAAGCCCTGCTCCCTCCAGATGCTGTAGAAGTCTGTGAGGGGCGGAACGGGAACTGGAACACGAGACGTCACAGCCCCGCCCTCTCCTGGTGTTCCTAGCAGGGAGGGGGGGTGGACGAAAGGGCAGAGGGGCCCCCTGCGTCATTCCGTGTGCGCCGGGGGCGGTCACGTGTCCTGCAGGCCCGACGTCATAAGTACGGGCCTGCTCATGCCATGTGACTCGACTGCTCCGGCCCCCCTGGCTCTTGCCTCATGGAGGGGGGGCGAGCCCCTGGAGTGGGAAACCCCGTGCTTAGCCTCGTAGCTTAGAGGGGCTAACACGTGTTTGCCGAAGCACACACACCACTACTCACCAGATCCCTCCGCCTGACCTCTCTCTGGGAGGGCATAGCATAGATCAGAGGACCGGAGCTCGTAGCTCGCGTAGCGCACTGCACACCCTGCTCTGGGGGCTGCAAGCCTAGCGGGGCAACGTTATGGGCTCGGGAAGTAACACAAGCAGACACATTACACATGTTACGTACCCCCAAATGAGACTCAGACAACAAGTACTGATGAAATGCCGGTTGGCCTTTATTGGAAAAATTCTTACCGCCCCGGCCTCCTCTACCATAGGGAGGCCGGCGGTGGGTGCGCTGTTCCCGCGAGCCTCCCGTGGGTCTGTCTGGACCCGGGGGTCTCGTCGAGGGGGGACGATGGATGGCGGAGCGAGGATAAGGGTCAGAGCGCCTCCTGGGCGAGCGCTCTCGGCCTCTGTCCCGGCTTCGTGACGGCAGGTGGGCCTCGCGCCTCGGAGCTAGGTGCGGGGCTAGCCTAGCCGAGTCTTTGGCTGCAGACTCCAGTCTCTCCACCAGGGCCTGCATGTCCGGGCCGAAGAGGGACGTCTGGGAAACAGGCAGGTCCAGCAGTTGCCTCTTCTCCGCCTCCCTGATGTTAGCCAGCCCAAGCCAAAGGTGCCTGGCCCCGACTTGGGCTGCAGCCATGGTGCGGCCACCATCCACGGCAAACGCCTGGCTCATGCGCAGGAGCGCCGCGGAGGTGGTCCTAGCCTCTGACAGGAGGTCTCCGCTGAGCGCCTGGCCAGCGAAGAGCGACCTATCCAGGGCCCCCGTGATAAAAGCCATGTTGTTCGCCAATGCGACGACCTGAGCTGCATTGGCATAACACCTGTCCAGCATAGCCAACGACATCCTGTCCTGCTCGGAGGGAAGGAGAGGTCTGGCGCCGGGCCACACGGATGCGGAGGGCTGCAGGGCCATGCGGACTGAGTCCTCGATGTCCGGGACACCACCGGTCCAGGACCAGTCCTGCACGCTGCAGTACATGCCGTACCCCAGAGCAGGCCTCTTGGCTGCTAGGGGCTTTGGCCACTCACGTGTCGCGTAATGGAGGATCGGGTCCATCTGCGGGCACAACGTGGGTTGCTTCCTCCTCCTCCCTCGAGTGGTGGCGCCCACCGAGGTGAAGTCCTCCACCGTCTGGTCCGGCTGCGGTGGTAGAGGAGCATCCATGATGGCCGCCGCGGAGGAGTAGAGACCGGGCATGTGATCCAGCGGAAAGCGGTCCGGCTCTGGGTTCGACACCACC